ATTTGGTATCATTTGTAGATCAAAATTACGGAATGACAAAAATACGGAAGGCTTGTATTCGATAATGTACACTGTGTATATATCTGTAATTTCTCATCACAATAATCAAGATTATACAATTTCACAATGCGTGTTACACAGTATTACAGCAACCGTACGCGTTAGGCTGTCAAGAACGGGTTTGGCTCCTAGGTAACAGAACAGGTAAATAACAATTTTATGAGTGTCCGGAGTTTTACCTGACCAGTGCCTGACACGAGAGCTGATATGCGATACCGTTTGACCGTAATGAATAGTATTTGTTATTTGCATTTGTTTGCCTATAGCTCCCCTTTACCTGGATTTTCACACCCCGGCCTTACCCGACGAGTTACGTAAATGCCCCAGGCGGGGAGAAAACTACGGTCCAGGTACATGTACAAAGTGGTTATGTTTACCTGTATACGGGATTGTGTTGTAATTTTACACGTGTCGATTAAGTTTGTTTAAAAACACAGAAAACAGAATTCCTAAATATAAGATTATAAAGACAGAAAGATAAGTTTATAGTTGTTGCTAGAATATAGAAACATACGTAAACATCAAGTTTGTATGTTCAAACACGAAACCGTATAAATTGTTAAGGCATTCCTCAATTTACACCAACCACGATTGTTATCGCACAACGTCCGTCCATCGTGCGCACATATGTGCGCAAGCAATGATCGTTCAGCTTTTTATCGTTCGCCAATCGTGCACACACCGTTCGCACACCACACATCGTGTAACGTTGTGCGATCCCACAACTGTATAGACAGAAAGATAAGTTTATAGATGTTGCTAGAATATAGAAACATATGTAAACATCAAGTTTATTTGTTTAAACACGAAACCGTATAAATTGTTAAGGCATTCCTCAATTTACACCAACCACGATTGTTATCGCACAACGTCCGTCCATCGTGCGCACATATGTGCGCAAGCAATGATCGTTCAGCTTTATCGTTCGCCCATCGTGCACACACTGTTCACACACCGTGCACACATCGTGCGCACACCGCACATCATGTAACGTTGTGCGATCCCACACCTAGGGAACTAGTTTCTTAGTCACAGCTTGGAAACAGTTGAGATCCCCATCCTATAACCGTATATACAATTGCTGAATATAAAGAGATGACTGCACATATGCTTCCAGGATGGCCTTGGGGTCTGCCCCATCATTGGAAACTCACCGTGCACACATCGTGCGCACACCGCACATCGTGTAACGTTGTGCGATCCCACACCTAGGGAACTAGTTTCTTAGTCACAGCTTGGAAACAGTTGAGATCCCCATCCTATAACCGTATATACAATTGCTGAATATAAAGAGATGACTGCACATATGCTTCCAGGATGGCCTTGGGGTCTGCCCCATCATTGGAAACTCACCGTGCACACATCGTGCGCACACCGCACATCGTGTAACGTTGTGCGATCCCACACCTAGGGAACTAGTTTCTTAGTCACAGCTTGGAAACAGTTGAGATCCCCATCCTATAACCGTATATACAATTGCTGAATATAAAGAGATGACTGCACATATGCTTCCAGGATGGCCTTGGGGTCTGCCCCATCATTGGAAACTTAACCCCTGGGTCATAACTTCGATATGGTTAAGATCTCCACCCCCAAACTATATATACAATGGTTGGGCATAAAGTGATGAATGCAGTCATGATATTAGAATTGACCCCAGGGTTTGCCCCACCCTTGCAGACTTAACCCTTGGGTCATAACTTGGAAGCAGTTGCGATCCCCACCCCATAACCATACATTAAATTGATAGGCATGAAAAATCTAATACAGATATGCTACAAGGATTGGCCTTGGGGTCTGGCATATTCCCTTGCCCTTGGATCTCATTTGGAGAATATTTTGCCATGCTTTCTTAGATATCCAGGTGTGCGATACAGGCCCTCTGGGCCTCTTGTTTGTTTTGGTGATCAATTGTTTGAATATTTTTTTTTAAATTTTGGAGGGACTTGGAGACTTAAAACAGAACATCATTTTTGGTGTAACAACTTCACTTATTGATGGAATGGTATGATTTCAAGGAGTTGCAAGGAAGCTGGTTTAAGCGTAGAACTCATAAGGACCAGTTTCATGTTTCAAAGATAAACTCCTATCCAATATGCTCATATCATTGGCACTGCATGTACAAGATAAAAAGTTATTTCTGTAAAGTTGTCAGTACTTGTTCATAGAGACCATCTGTCATGGTC